CTGTGCAACGTTGGCCTCATATGGTGCAATAGTACGCCGTGTGTGAACGTGTTGCTTTGAAGACGCCTATAGTCAGTCCCTTCGTCTCTTGTGAGTTTTGGATGTGGCGGGGGGTATAACCTGCGTTCTAGCCGATAATGTTGCAATAATGCATGGTACGTTAGGGGTATGGCTTCTCTTGTCTCTGATTCTGTTGTTGAGTGGGAGGTGCCTCGGATCTTGTATGGGAATGCCCGGTTGACGCATTCGCGGGCTGCGGTGTGTGCCGCTTCATTTCCCTCGAGACCTTCATGACCCGGAATCCACACGATGCATGTGTAGGGAGGAGGATTGTCCATGCGCTTTAGTAGCCTAATCGCCACCGTGGAGACCCTGCCTTTCAGGTAGTTCCGTGCCGCTGTTTGTGAGTCAGTAAAGACCACGATGGGATCCTCACTCGTCTGGGTGGCGAGTGCTATAGCAGCCTCTTCAGCTGTTTCCGCACATTTGGCGAGGATAGTCGCCGATGCCAGTACTGCGCCCTTGCAATCTACGACGGTAATCGCGAAGGCATTACGTCTCGGATATTTGGCTGCGTCCACGTATCGCGCCTGCGGGTCATTGCCATGTTTTTTCCGGATCATGTTAACCCTGGCGAGCCGCCTTTCTCGGTGATGTTGAGGATGCATGTTCCGAGGGATCTGCTGATTTTCAAGGCTTTCTCGCAGCTGTGACGGTATTTTGCCTTTGCGTTCTTCGTTGGGTTCTAGAGTGGTCTGGTATCCTGTGCGTCGAAGCACGGCTTGCCCTGTGAGTGACAGCTTGAGTCTCTCGACCTGGTTGATGAGGTGTGCTTCGGTGAGTTCTTCCCACGTATTATGAACTCCCATGCGAAGCAGTCGGTCAGTGGAGGCGGCTGGCAGCAGTCCTAGGGCAAGCTTTGTAGCCTTTCGTATCAGCAGATTAAGTTTTTGTTTCTCCGCTGTCTTCAGGTTGAGGTAGAAAGTTCCGTACGTTATGCGGCTGTAAAGGAGAGCTTGTACCATTTTTAGGGTGTCGTGATCTTTGAAGCCACTGCGGCGATTAGCCACCCTTCGGATTAGGTAGGTGAGCTGTGTCACAGTGTTCTGCAGCCGGGGTAGGGCAGCGGAGCCAGACCCATCTTTAAGTATGTGTAGTCCAAGGACTCGAAGCGTGTCAACTTGTGGTATTTGGACTCCCTGTAGAAAGACTTGTGGGTCAGGAGTGTCGTAGCTTGGTGGTCTACCCCGGGTGCGTGCCGCAAGTACTAACAGTTCCGACTTTTCCGGAGCACATTGGAGGCCGCAGGTCTTGAGATATCCTTCAGTGATGTTAATCGCCTCTTGAAGTCGGTCCTCCTGTTCACCCGTGCCTGAACCTCCTGTCCACATAGTGATATCATCGGCGTATAACGCGTGATGTATCCCAGGGACAGCGTCCAAGAGACGTGGGAGCTTAAGGAGGGCCAAGTTGAAAAGCACTGGTGATATCACTGAGCCCTGCGGCGTGCCTTTGTTAGGGAGTTGAAAAAGCTCGCTCCTGATATTGGCAATCCCTACAGTGGCAGTGCGGTTGGTGAGGAAAGCCAGCATATAGGCGTATGTCTTGGCACCGCAGCCGACATCTTCCAGGCTACGCAGAATGGCGTCCAAAGCTAGAACAGATGACTTACTGTGCTTGCTCAAGCGGAGAAGGATATCTTCCTTTATCTGCAAGAGGACGTCTTGTGTGCTGAGCATTTGGCGGAAGCCGAACATGGTGTTCGGATAGTGACCATTGTCTTCGAGATGTGTGGTGAGCCGCTCGTTACCATGTGCTCAAAGAGTTTCCCAGCGCAAGATGTAAGGGAAATGGGACGAAGATTCGCAATCGAGATTGGCTTGTTTGGCTTGGGTACCATGGTCACCTCTGAGTGCTTCCAGGCTTGTGGTAGCTCGCCCTTCCTCCAGCAGTCGTTATAGTGCCGAAGGAGCGCCGTCAACGCCCGGGGCGGTAGCTGTCGTAGGTGCTTATTGGTCACTCCGTCTTTTCCCGGGCTTGTGTTGCGCGTAAGCTTAGCAAGGGCCGCGTGTAGCTCTGCCAGCGTGAAAGGCTGGTCTAGTGCTTCGTTCGGTGCTCCTCGGTACTCCCTGGGCGTCGAATTGTTGATGGAGGTAGCTTGCTGGTTAACCGAGCCACAAAGTTTTGCTTGAAGTTCTTGGAGTAACTGGTGCTCTGTGCCCTCATAGTAGTGTATGAGCCGCTTAATTGTATTTCTTTGGTTAGTTTTGGTGTGGGTGTCGTCAATCAGGGCTCGAAGAATGCGCCAAGTCTTCTTTGTGCTCAATGTCCCTTGAAGTTTGTCGCAGAAGGACCGCCAGTTCTGGCTCGCAAGGTTTTCGGCGTACTCCTGTGCCTGTCTAGTGAGTACGGCGATGCGGCGCCTCAGCTTGCTGTCGAGCTTTTGCCGTTGCCATCGTTTAATAAGCGATCTTCGAGCTTCCCATAGGTGAAGGAGATGATTATCGACTGCCGGATTGTCCTCGTTCAAGTGTATCGTTTTGGTATGTCCGTCAGCAGCACTTACAATACTGTTTAACCAGGCTTCAATGTCTTCGATAGTCGAATCATCATCAAGCTCATTCCTGTAGGCGGTCCAGTCCGTGAGCCGAGCTTTTCCTGTCTTGAGCGAGCGCTGAGCCTGTTCGACCTCTATTTGAATTATGTGATTGTCACTCCCTAGAGTGTCTGGTAGCCTTGTCCGCGTTGCGTTGTGCACGTCTCTAGTGAACGCGAGATCAGGATTAGTATCCCTCGAGACGCTGTTGCCAACTCGGGTTGGATGGAGCAAGTCATTCCACAGCGTCAAACCGTGTTGCTGCGCAGCGTCGTGAACACGCGCCCCCTTCTTGGTGGTGCTGTGATAGCCCCAGGCCGCGTGTGGAGCATTGAAGTCCCCAACCATGACGAGTCGGTTGCCGTTAACCATTTGACGGAGCTCGTGGACGAAGTGGTCGTATTGGTGTAACTGCTCCCGCGGAGGACTGTAAATGTTGGCCAGGTATAAGCTTTGTTGAGTCTTCCGAGTGGGGATTATCTCCACGATTGTGTGTTCGATGCCTATGTCTTCAATTTCATGAGTCTGTGCGGTTAGAGTCTTCTTGACTAGAATTGCGGTGCGGGGTGTGCATGTGAGAGTGCTGTAGCCAGGGAGCTTGATTTTTTCTGTGTGGGTTTCCTGCAACGCGATCATATCTGGATTATTTGTTTTAACATATTCTTGCAAGTTTGCAGAACGAGGTCTGTAGGATCTGCAATTCCAGTGCCAAATTCGAAGAGTGGGGAGTGGCTGAGACTGTCTATGTGTGGGAGCTGCCATTCTGGCACTTGATTCCCGCCTGGTGCCGGTCGTTTGGTGCTGTAGATCGAATTTCCGCTGCAGTTTCATCACCTAAAGTTTTTCGCTCTTTCCGCTTGGTCCCTGATTGCTCTACCAGCTGCTCATGGGTAACGAACTTTTTGTATGCATATGTTATGACAGTTAAATAAACAAGTATTTTTTTGCCTTATACCTTAAAGACGGAGTTGAGTCTGATCGCAGTGTCTGGAACGCCATCGTCTTAATACTTCTTTGTTGAAATCGCAAACACCCGCACTTCCTCCTTGTGGAGAAGCAGATAAACACTTCGCGATTTCCGGCGACGAGCCGCCGCAGCGGCCTTGGAAGCGGTTCTCTTCCGCCAGCGAGTCAATCCACGAGTGCTGCTTCTTTTGCGTGTTTTTAAAAGAAAAGCTGTGCGATGCCCAGCTGTATACTCGGTGCGAATCGCGTGCACTGCCGGATGTACCTGGTGCCACTTTTCACGTATGTTTGCTTCACTGTTGATGGAATTTACATGCGGAGCTCTCAGCTGTACGCTCCGTTGGTTCTTATTCATTGTGTCAACTGAGAACACACGCGAACTTTCGTTTTTACTGTTGTAAGCATCGTGTCGCATTTGTAGAAGTTGTGTCGTTCATACGGAAGGGCAATAAAGTTTTCTTGTTACTGGACAAAGTGTGTATGCATTTTACGGTGTGCGCTCGCGCTGCGCGTTAGTTTTGTGCGCACTGGAAATACACACTTAACGTGCGCGATCACGTATACAATGCAGCTGTGCCTTCTTACCGACGTGAAGTACGTGAAGTACTAGGCTGGCGTTGCACGGAATAGCTACGAAGCAAGCTCTCAAAATCGTGCATTGCCACACTGACACTATACACGAGCAAAGAACTGTTAATCAGCCCGTACATAAGGAAATATGGCTAAGAGAGAGAGAGAAAAAAAGGCCTTGCGGCGAGCAGAACGCGTAAGGCACTGCCGGGTGAGTGCGAATACGATGATGCAGAGGCTGAATGATTTTCATTTCGACACGTACCGGTGATTTCTGTGCCGTTGCACAAAAACACTCCATGAAGTATTTTAGCACGCCGCGCTTGGGCCTGCCACGCACGAACAGTTTGTGAAAGGTGTGCTCGCAACATTTTACTGCATGCAAACCATACAATATCGGTTAAGTTAACGCCGGGACTATATAAGCCACACAGCGTTGAGAGCCCGCCGAGGAGCGTCTGCTGTTTTGTTTGCCCCATCCCAGTTTGTTTGCCCCATAAGTTTGACGTCACTTCCGCCACATTTCTTTCAATGCATTGGGATAGGATAGGGCACGGAGGAAATAACCCTTTCCTACATCCGTGGCCTCTCCTTATTTTTTCCTTCCTTCATGAAACCAAGTACAAGGACTCTTAAATGGATAAATAAATATGACTGTACCCTTTAGATTGGGCGATGGCTAGCGCCACCAAGCCGTGATTCCGTTCCTAGGTAGGCAGCGCCGCCATAGATGATGGGCGTTTCGTGCTCATCCGGCAGGCAAGAGAAATCTAGGAGGCTATGCCACAGAACACCCAACAGGCTATGCTACAGTGTCTAGAATATTCTAGGCACTGTAGCTAAGCTCTGGACAGACGCTTGTGCATGTGTTCCACGTGGTGCTGTTGGTTCGCGCTGCTCGGTGCCTTTCGTATTTTGTTTTTTCTCGTTGCTCAATCGTGGTTTGCGCGTAAAATTATCGCCAGGTGACCAAACAAGCCTCGACTGGCCAAAACAACGTCAATCAAGTGAGGCTTGCATCGTTTATTGCGATTGCCCAAGCCGGTACAAGAATAGAAATGGCGGTCCGCGTGGTGCCGACAATGCGTTTGGCCATTGTTCTGACGTGCCCGACGAACAGTTTCGGCGTCACTTTCGCCTGGCTAAAGAGACAATGTTGCGGTTGTGCGACGACGCTGCCTACGAAATGAGGGGCTGGCGGCCAACTGCGGTCTCGGTGGAGCGGCGGGTATTGTGCGCCCCGCGTTTCTTCGCCTCCGGGTCAGGTGTTCTGTGACGGCGCGTCCTTCCAGTCGTTGGTGGCCCGCGACGTGTGGCTCGAGCAGTCGTGAATGCCAAGACCCGCAACAAGTGGGTTCACTTCCCGACGATGCCGAAGGAGAAGGCGGCCGTGAAGGAGAGATTCCTCCGACTAGGACCTGCCAGGCGGCCTTCTGGTTCCGGGTATTTCGCCCGAACACGGCATGCGGATCCTCGCCGTGGACCCGCTGCGACCAGGGTTGGACCATGGCAGCCACAAGTGGGGCACAACGTGCGTCCGCGAACGTTTCGAAGAGGGCCGCATTTACACGACTGGTGAGTACGACCTCGGTGAGAAACATCTATTCATGATGAAATATTGGGAGCGCAAACTGATGGGACGCAAAGGAGGAGACAAACGAGCGCAGACTGAAACGCGGTTTATTCGACGAAGATATGTACCAGAAAGACAAGAAGGGAAAGGGAAATGCAAAGAAAGTTCCATCGTGATTAAGTGTCGTCCAGAAACGAGATTTTACAATCTAAAAGTGATATATACATATAGAGACAGTGAGCTGACACAAATATCATTCTTTTTTATGAAAATCTCCCTAGTATTTGTGTCACGATGGTTGTCTATTCCCTTTGGTGTCGCGCTATCAAAACATTTCCTCGCGGTATATTGATAAAACTTGTTAGCACAAGTAACAGGCAAGGTGATTGCCGACATCTGTCACTTGCTACCTTGCTTAATCTCCCAGCTGTGGCTTAACTGCTGCAGTATCATCAAGTGATGCACTTTATCATGACAACCTCATGTTTTGCATGATACAGGGTCTAAGTCAGGCTGTTTGGGCACTACAGATTCTATCAAAGAATCCTAAGGATAACGGCCTCTTAGATGTCCTTGTAATTTTAGTAGTATTTATATCGCAATTCATATTTCTACAGCTGACAGTGGCTACCTCCACGAGCCTTGGCTTATGGTCCCAGTGCAAGGTCGTCCTCACAGCGATACTGCAGAAGGCAAGTACAACTCGGCCTACGTCTTAATGTGTTCCATAGTGGAGCGTAATACAAGGCTACATAAGAGCCGCTTTCACTGTTTTCAGCAGTTCCGAACCCTGCTTCAACTCACCGTAACGTTCTTCAAGCATTGTTGCTGCATTTGCAGTGTTGCACAACCTTTGTATTGAAGAAGGTGACATAGGTGTTGTAGATTTCAGCGACGGCAGTGGTGATGAGAGCGGTAAGCATGACAGCTTTATTGATGATGACCCCCAACCTCGGTTTCGATGGGAGTGGTCATCACTCTCTGTGTACTTGTGTGAGCAAGCTGTCTGCAACGACGTTATCAGCTTGTTTGGCACGGCTGGGCAGCAACGCCTGCAGTTCTTAAGAAAGGTGCCAGGCAACTGTGCTGCCCGCAGCAGCCTCGGCAGTGCTAAAATATTTCTGCTGCGCTGCGAGAGCTCGACTGTCTGCCGTCCTTTAACGTGCACCTAAAATGAAGTCAACCAATGCTACTGCATTTCTCCTCATTGGTCTTGCAACCGCAGCTGTCAGCATTAATGGGACACATGTCCACAAGTTTAGTAGGGGTACATCTTATCTGGTCAGCTGCCATGGTGTTTCTTAAATAGATCGAGAGGTAGGGAGGTCAACCGATTCAGGATAACTGGTTTGCTACCCTGCATGTTCGTCAGTTGCAAGGAATTGTGAAGCAGCAACAAAGTGCAGCCAAGTCACTGGGAAAGAATTGTTTGGTACTATTTTTGCAATTGTTTCTGAGGTTTTATGAGCTGAAACCACAATATGAATATGGGGCACACATCACTGGAAGTCTTTGTAAGAAAATATAGGTTCCTCAACGTGCACCCAAATGCTACACAGGCCTTTAGGATTCTACCTCCATCAAAATACAATCTCAGCAGCTTCGATCATGCTCGTGTGATCCGGGTGAACAGCCAAGCCTTGTAACCACTGTACACTAGTATCATTTTTGTCACTGCTCTCATCCTGCGATTTCCAACTATTGTCATTGCTATCTGCACCATGCCTGGGCGCCGTTTTCTTGCTTCCTGCCTGGGCGACGCACATTTACTATGCTTAGTGGCCTTCTGTTTCACCACACCATTCCTTCGGAACGGGACCACCGACGCCGAAACATAGTCTAGCATTTCAAGTACCTTTTGCTCATTTGTAAATACTAAGGTTATGCGAAAGAATCAGTACGCAGCCTTTTCTTCAAGTCGGAGCTTCGTAAAAAAAAAAAAAAAAAAAACTTTATTTCATGCTCATGCGAATGCAAAGACTGCATATATTTTCTGTAATTAAGTGCACATTGTGAAAGTGCAGCATCATGTTTTCAAAGTATTACTGATATTTATTACATTGCGCATGCAATAAGAAGTAGAATAAGGCTATGTACACAACGTAGTGTGCCGCCGCCGGACATGGCTATGTGATGATGATGATGATGATTAAAGGCCTCCCCTTTGAATCGGGGTGACGGCATGCGCCATCTAGCCTACCTTAATAGTTCGAGTTTAAATTTTGTCCCTCAACTCTGATGTCTTTTTGATTTTGCCCAGCCGCTACTCTTGGCTGGGATGTTATTTTATCGACTTCTCTGCTTTTCCTCCACCAATACTCCAGCCGCTGCTTAGTAATACCTACTGCTGATCAGTTAATGCTTCCATCAACCGCGAAGCCCAGCGCCTCAGGAAGTGTGACCTTCCCCCCATTTCTATCCGGCTGAATCTTTTGGCATTCCACGACTATGTGGTCAATTGTTTGTTTATTTATGCCACATCCAACACATGTCTCATCCTGTGACAAATATTTGCTCCTGTAAGTTAGAGTTCTCAAGCAGCCAGCCCGTGCCTCAAAGAGCAACGCACTACCTTTATTGTTGTCATAAAAGCTCTCTTTCCGGATCTCTTGTTTGCTTGCCTTGTAGATTCCCAGCGATCCCTTCTTTTCCATCCTCTCTTTCCACATGAGCGTCTCTGTTTCCCTCACTTGCTTTTTAACTGGCCCCCTTTGCTTATTTGCCACGGTCAAGTTATATTTAGTCGCCAGCTTTCGCGTCCTCTTCCGCCATTGGGTGTCCACACTTTTCAGGTACAGGTATCTGTGCACTCTGGCTGCCCAGTTCTTCTCATCTAAATGTCTAAGTCGCTCCTCAAACCGTATTTTACTTTGTGCTTCCCTTGCCTCAAATGAAGCCCAACCCATATCGCCTTGTACAGCCTCGTTTGTAGTCTTACTGTGAGCTCCCAGAGCTAACCTGCCGACTGCCTTTTGGTTAACCTCCAGCCCCGACAGGATATCTGACTTTAAGCATAATACGCCATTAGAGAACGTGAGCGCCGGCACCATTACCCCTTTCCAGATGCCTCGTACTACCTCGTACTTATTGTGTCCCCAAAGTGCTCTATGTTTCATTACTGCTGCATTTCGTCCCCCTTTCAGTTTGAGGTGTTCTTCATGAGCATTCAGGTAGCCTTTTCCTTCATTAAGCCAGATCCCCAAGTATTTGTACTTATTTACTAATGGTATGGCTTCCTGTTGTATCCTTGTTGGTGCTACATGAGCTTCCTCGTTGAACACCATGACTCCAGATTTCTGTGGGTTAAAATGTAGGCCTAGGTACGTTGCCTCATCACCACAAATGTCTGCCAGTTTTTGAAGTTCTTCCGCATTATCCGCCAGCAGCACTATATCGTCTGCGTACATCAATCCCGGAATCCGTTGCTCCACTAACACTCCATTGCTTCGGTGTGACAAATCAAAGCCCAATCCACTCTCCTCTAGTCGTCTTTCCATTCCTCTAATGTACAGTGTGAACAGCAATGGCAAAAGAGGGCATCCCTGTTTTAAACCTCTTCGAATGTACACGGGCTCTGTGTATGTACGCCCTTCCCATGTAATGTGTGCCTTGTTATCCTCATATATTGCCCTTAGCAGCCCTACAAATTCCGACCCAATCCGCTCCTCTTCCAGTATATGCCACAGCAATCCCCTGTCCACGTTGTCATAGGCACCCTTTATGCCCAGAAACAGTAGCCATGTTGGTCTGCCCTGTGCTGCCGAAATTTCGATGGTCTGGGTTATGACGAAAAGATTGTCTTCCAAGCGTCGACCCGGCCTAAATCCATTTTGCAGTTCCCCTAAAATACCGTTACTTTCAACCCACTTCAACAACTCGGCTTTGATGGCTTGTATAGCTAATCTATAGAGCACTGACGTGACTGTAATCGGCCTGTAAGAGCTCGCCTTGTCCCTTTCTCCCTTGCCTTTGTAGATCAAACTCATTCTACTTTCGCGCCAGTGCGCAGGAATCCTCTTGGATTTTATAGCGCGCTCGATGGCTCCATACAAGTGCGCCTGTCCCGCTGGTCCCAAATGGTTGATAATCTCTATCGGGATTCCATCCGGTCCTGTTGCCGTACTTTTGGGAACACTGTGTTCTGCCTTTTTCCAGTCCAAAAATTCGATATTAAATTTTTCATCTGCCACTCTTTTATTTGCCACCTGTGTCCAGTTAGCCGACCTCTCGCGTGCTTGGCCGAAAGTATTTCCTATGACTCCATGTAGGTATTCTAATGCGCTGTCCCCCAGGAGAACGTTACTGTCCCCGTCCTGTATCTGAGTCTGCATATCTTTAGTCGTCGTTCCCAATGCTTTTAAATGGTTCCAGAATTTTTGGGGGGCACTCTTATCCTTCTTACGTATGTCTGATACCCATTTCTCACTTGCAGCTTTAATCTTCGCTTGTACTAGTTTCTGCACCTCAAATTTCTTTTCTCGGTACCGGCTCCACCGTAACTGCACCTCATCATCCTGATATCCCATTTGCTTTGCTTTTCTGTGCAGTCTAGAGGCCCGTCGTCGCTCTTCAACAGCCAGTTTAATTTCCTTGTCCCACCAGCTTCGTGGTTTCCGTTTACCCCTCCAGCGTTTTTTTTTCCTTACTTTGTTTATTTGCTTTTGTATACAACTAACAACCTCGTCTTATTCCCACACCTTTGTTGGCGGTGCTTCTAATTCTCTTTCGATGCTATTGACGATGTCTGCTATCTGCTTTTCGCTTACTTTCAGGAGCCCAACCTCCTGTGTTTTCTTCCTAGCCCCCCCCACTGTCAAATTTCAGGATTATACGCCTGTGGCCGCTGCCCAGACTGTTTTCTCCTTCTTCATCTATCGTCATTTGGTTCAACCGCTCGTACGTGTGCTCTGAGACCAGGCCGTAGTCTATGCAAGACTGTCTACTGCCGCTTTGCCACGTTATCTGCCCGTCGCATTTATGTTCCCGGTTAACCATTACCAGTTGCTGTTCTTCACACATATCGATAACCATTGCACCGTTATAGTCTGTATATCCATCTAGATCCTCAATGTGGGCATTTAAATCTCCTACTATTATCACCTCGCCAGATTCTTTAAATTTTTTTATGTCCTTCCTGAGGCAGTCCACCCACTCTTTATTTTGTTCTCTGGCGTCATTCCCTGTCCACAGATAGGCCACTCCCAATCGTGTCTTTTTTCCCCCCACCGTTACACTAACCCATAAGTGCTCCTTACAGCCCTGATTTTCCTTCTGCCAATTCCCTCCTCGCCTAATCAACATGCCCACGCCTCCACCTTTCCTTTCTCCCGCTGCCCTGTTGCACCCCACCCATACGTAATCATCCATCACTGGTGGCTCCTCCATATCTCTCAGGTGGGTTTCGGTCAGGGCGTACACGTCAATTTCTTCTTTCTCGAGTTGGGTTTGTATCTCAATCCATTTTTCCTGCTTGCGGCCGCCTTGCATGTTTATATAACTAATTTTAATCTCCCGGTTTATTTTCCTTTTCTTTCCTTTGTGTTTCCGCCGCCGTGTATCAGTTCCCCCTCCTTCCTGCCTTTCACCACCCCCTCCACTCAGTCCGCCTTCTTCTTGAACGTTTGGCCTCCCCCAAAAAAGCCACCGCGCGGGCTACCAATCGGTGCCCTACATGCTCAGCTAGACGGTTACTGAAGTGTATGCCGTCAGACACAAACGCCCTGTTGCGGCCTGCATGGACCAGGTTTCGGTTCAGGTTGACCACCTCGAACTTCATCGTTTTACCATAGAGAAATAAAGGTTAAGAGTGGACACTCCCGTAGACCCCAGCGGCCCAATCGACCCTAGCACACCTGGTGGTTGGTGAGAGCAAGTGGCATGCGCTTCCTGTTTCGGTTTCACTGGCGCAAATTTTGAATTACTTTGCATAACCGACGTTTGGCTATGACGAAAGTTCATGATTTCAGACCACTATTCATCGCCCAAATGGATAGTTTTTGTAGGTCGTTTTGATTTAGCG